GAGGCGGGGGGGGGGTTAACGAGACCGTTGTCTGATGCCCCAGTCCGAAGGGCATTGTGTTTTATTTCCGTTCTCATTGAAGACACGTAATATATGCACTTTCTATCTCTTCCTCTTCCCTCTATCTAGTACTGTCGTCTAGTAGTTCAAAATGTTTCATTACAAACAACATATCTTGCGAACTGTATCGGTGATTCGCCAATGCCCACGCCCTCTACAAATCGGACTCGTGAAAAATGGCTCTGCACAGACCTATTGTGAACTCCTACGAGCTTGAATTCAAGACAGCACTAGTCCTGGTCATACACCGGCTGGATGTGATATTGCACCACAAACAAAATGTTAAGCTATTTTCCTTTATCTATATTGAAGAAGCGTGTTTTCTTTCTTTGGAACGAACGGTGTACTCATTTGACTTGCACCAGCTGAGAGTTAAGCTGACCATATTTACATTTTATCAAAAATAACAATTCAATCCTATTTATACCCCTTCCATCGGCACATCCGAACGATCCGGATATCACTAGTGGTGCAAATGATTATTTTGCATCCACCAACAAATCAATATATAGCGCATACTGTCGGTTTCTACCTGTTCCTGACTAATTAGAAACTTGTGCATCGGAATGGAGTTTTTTATTCCCTTTAAAGTAGCGATTCGTCAACTGTTACCTATCAAACAAACAAATTCCCAGTGTAGTTATGCAGCAGTCACTTCGGATCTTCGTTGAAGATACACACATTTTAATTCGTCTCGTACAAATGATCTCTCCACCTCCCTTGTCATTTTTAAAGAAACTATAGTGTTTTTCGCACTCTCTTATCTGATGAACACGTGAATTTCATTCAGTTTAGTTCAATTCGTTGGTGATCGCATCGAACTTTGCCAAAAAGGATTTATTTCGAATCGCTTTTTCTAAAGTAATCCCTACAGTTTAAAAATAAGTCTGTACAAAAAGTCGTCATCCGAGAAAAAACAAACAATACATCGCATATCGTTATGGCTTTGATTACAACAGGTTAGCGTATAGCTCAAACATCGACATGTGGAACCTCTTGCCGTCCATGTTGTGGTAATGGTTGTGCCGGTGGATGGATCAACTATCCTCGAATTCTGAGATGCCTCGGGTTACACGAGCGTAATTTTGCGAATAGAGAGCATACGTGTTTGTGCAGTACGAATATGATTAACATATGCTCACATACACACACACACATTCGGATGTGGTATGGTAGCCATGTGTGAGGTTTTCACCTCCCTCAAGGGCCTGACGACAACATGGACAACAACGGCGGTTAATTCATCAAAATGCAAACCAGCCATAGTTAGCTAACGAACTGAGTAGGATTGACGCGGTGGGGAGGAGTTTAGTTGAACCATCTCGCCCGATTAATCCTATTTCATCCGTATGCTGGACAGTGAGTGAGCTTGCAGGTACACGCCAGCACATACACATGCGTGCCACACAAACACAGTGACAGAGATACCGGAATTGGAAGAGGAGCCTGAGCGAAAGAAGAGGAGCGTCAACAAGAGCATGTACTAAAACCCGCTGTACGGGCTTCAGCCAACCCGGTTCGTTGGCTCAGTTACCATCGCCACACGACGTAAGTAATAATTTGAGCAGGTTAGGCAAACAAGTTACACCTTTGGTGAGAACTCAGAATTGCAATCATTGATTTTTGTTCCGGTGGTGATGCCAATGAATTAAGTGGGGGTGTCGAGGGAGT